CATATTTGTTAACTAAATAGTTAATCGACGAATGATAGAGATTGATTTTAAATTTACTTAATTTATTAGAAATTAAATTTAAACGCAATAACTTTGATAAGACTAAAGAAAAAAATTGATTTATAAATTGCTATTAGTTAATTTAATTTGTAATTGTTCATTAGGTATTTATTATTTAAACATATTTAATAAAGAATTGGGTTTCGAGCAACACTCATGGTGTCATTAGCTTCGAGTTTGTATTTTTTTAACGACTCGGAACCCTAGGAAAACAAATGCTTGTGCGGAGATCAAGTAGCTGGAGCTCTAAGTATTATATACGTGCATTGTCTTGCTATTGAAATCAGAAGATAAGTTATTCAAGTAAATATTGGTAAAACCAATATCATTTTAATTCGTATACCCTTAAAAGATGCTTCTCATAGACCAAATGCTATCGTTTTCTATAATATAAATCACACTACCCACTGATCCCCTTTTTTAATAACCCCGCAAAATTTCAAATTCGTCTATTCGAACTTAAAGCATAAAATTAGTAATAAAGGCTCATTTTGACATTTGAGTATTTTTAATACGTTGGACTGGTTTAATTTTACATGAATAGTCATGGATTCGACGCTTCCGATATCTAACAACATGAGTTATTCAAATCCTCTGTCACATGCAAGAGAATTAAACTAAAAAAGTGGATCGGAAAAGATTGGATAGATAAATGATTTAATGTGGACTCTCATATGCTCACGTATCCTTCAAATTTAATAATTCTTTTTGGAATGGGGAGGAGGTGCAATTACCGAATATTCGCACGCATTAAACTTTGTAATCGTTCTACTAATAAAACGCCTCTTGCTTTTGTTAACCTTGAGCTGCAACCCTGCATGTGAAGACATCTTGGGATTGAATACCTCTGCACAAATTTTATGATGGTTTTTTCTTTTTTCTTTAAACTATCCCTTCCCAAACCCCATTATATACAGGTTCATAAATCTTCTACTATTTTAGAAATGAATATTATATCCCTGTAGTTTGAAATTAATATTTCTGTGTAGTTAAAGAAATCCACAAAGTAACGGAGAGTTCCAATGTTGGTAGCGTATGCAGGACAAACGTATATCTAAGACACATTTCTAATTAACCACCCAATATTTGAATAAGATTGGTTATTAAAAACTTGTTAGATTCTAAATATAAGTTGTCGTGCTGATTTTGACAGACAACATTCTGCGTCCAGATTTCAGGAGTAGGGTAACTGTTTTTGGGGTCATAACTTGTAATATAAAAGAGTAACTTGCCTAAAACTGCGACTGGCTGCCAAATAACAATCAAGGCTTAAATTATGACTGGAACTGATTTGATGTCGATGTCGAGTTTTATATTTTAACCTTTATCCAATCAGTTTAATCATTGTTAAATATTTATAAGGACAAAAATTTGGTGCCAAAATTAGTGTAAATATTTTTTTAAAAATATTGTAAGAAATTTGTTAATAATACACTTAAAATAATGTTTAAAAATATAATTTATAAACTAATTGTTTTAGATATTTTAAAAAATAAAATTTTAGGTAAATCACAAAAATATTTATATCCTCTACAATTTTTATGGAAACTGTAATCATCTATTGTCTAAAAAAATATTTTTATTTAAACTAAACAGATTATTTAAGCGATTTTGATGGGATATAATTATTTTATTAAATATTATAAATATATTATTCTACTTGTGTTAAGTATTAGTGAATTGTAATCATTTGTAGTTGATTTAAATTATTAAAAATAATAATAAATATTATAAGAATGCTGACTTTAAAAAGTTAATTAAAAAATAGTTAAAATATTATATGATATGAGACTAAGATTTTTGTGATGATATGAGCATAAGGTGTAACTACGTAATTTTGTATTAAAATTTCTTAAATTTTATGTAGTTCAAGTAAAAGGATGAAGTTTTAAAAGAATTTATAATTTTAGTTTAAGTGTTTTTTTTATTTTATTTCAACAAAAATTACTTTTTTTTATCGATTTTACTTAAATAAATTATTTTAATTTAAACAAAAACCACATTTTTGTTCAATTCAATTAAAAAATATTTGTTTACTTAAGTAAAATTACACTATAGACTGTAATTTCTTCTAAATCCTCACAAAAGAGTTTAATAAAATACGTATCATTTCACATTTCGCATGTTATAATCGTAGGTTTGTAACTTTGTCTTCGTAAGTTGTTTTGATTGAGATTGTTGCAGCTTGATTAATTAAAGGCACAATAGTAAATGACTTGCAAAGTTTTGATCCAATAAAACTTCCTCTTTTAAGAAATCTAATAATATTAATTGCATCAAAAATATAGTGTGGGAGGTTTGGAACAAATCTCGTTTAGGGATAACAATGGGTAGAGTACTATAGTATCATCCCCATACTCACATTTTTAAAAAATATTTGTACTCAGTCTCATACCCACGTGGATATGAACATTAATTCTCGTACCCGTACTCGCGTACCCATTACTCGCGCTTGTTTGAGAAAAAAAATATTTATAAAAAAATATATTTATATAATTTCACATAAGTAGTATAATAATACAAAAACTAAATATGTAGTTATCGAACACGGTACAAATATAAATAAAAAATAAATATTCAAATATCACAAGTACTAAATGTATCTTAATATAATAATTTTATAAACTAAAATTCTTAGAAACAATAAGCGAAACCAAATACATAAGTTATTTGTCAGTGATAACCCTGTCTTGTATGAGATTTGATCGATCAACAATGTCAGAGCGACAACAAAATAGATCTGCACAATGGTTATTCCTTTGGGATCACTTAGTGACCTCTTGTAGCAGCATTGACAACTAACTCTAATGAATAACGTTTCATAGTTATTAGGTTTTAATCATTGGTTATTCCTTCGTGTGGGATCACTTAGTGACCTCTTGTAGCAGCATTGACAACTAACTCTAATGAATAACGTTTCATAGTTATTAGGTTTTAATCAGACAAACATTTAGAATGATAATAAAGTTAGAGTAGAGAACTTCGAGTACTAACAACGAAAAGTAAATACATACATTTTTTTTTTTTTACTTTTGAATTTGAAATTATAAGAAAAATAATATATTTAATTAAATTAATATAATATAATTAATATATATGTATATATATATATATATATATATATTAATATTAGTATTTTTAACTCACATATTATACGATAGTATTTTGTCAAAAATACAATTTTTGAAAAAATATTTTTATGAATTAAATATTTATAATGTATATAAATTTTAAAATAAAGAATTTGAATAAAAGATAAATGGTCACAATAAAATTTTATAATAAAGAAATATATGTGTATATTTAAAAAAATTATACTTTTTTATCTAAAGAAAAATTAACAAATAGAAATTAACAATAATTTTTTATATTTTATATCTTTTTAAAAACTTCTTTAAATGTGAATAAATGTAAGAATAATATTATTTAGATTCAATAGATTATAGTTGTGCTTGTAATACATATGTTGCATAGAAAAATATTATTTTAAATTAAAATATAAAAAAATTAAATATTACCAATAAATAATAAATTTACGATAATAATAAGTGATTGTAAAATTTACAAAATATTTATTATTTATCATTCACTTTATGATTTAAATATCAATATGATTTTATTAACAAAAATATTTGTGTAAAAAATATTTTATGTGTATCATATATAAATAATATTTTTAAAAAAGTCAAACTCGTGTTAACTATGTAATAATTAAATTATATTAGCTTAATTAAATGATATAAAATAGTAAATAATTTTTTTTATTAAAAATATAAACCAAAATAATTTGTTTGGTTTACTTTATTATTAAATATATTTTTATATTAATCTTATATAATTTCACATAAGTAATATAATAATACAAAATTCAAGCGCGCGCGCGCACACACACACATATATATATATATATATATGTATATATATATATATATATGTATATATATATATATGTATATGTGGGTATGGGACGGGATGAGTACTTAGATACCCGCATCTATTCCCATTAAAATTTGCAGATTTTTACCCACATCTATACCCGTACCTATATAGCGGATAAATACCCTATCAATTATGAGTAAATTTTGCGGGTGCCTATTAAGTATTTTATCCATTGTCATCCTTAATCTCGTTCAGTAATATAAAAACACGTGTTTTTAATTTGTTTTAAATTTGCTAGTGTTACTATTATTATCTTTTAAGACACTGTTTTGTCATACACTATTTTGTCTGTTTTTTTTATAAATATTATCTGATTTTCACTAATTACAAAATTTGAACCCAATACTGCATAAAGAGCAGTAGAGTAGGAGAGTTCACACGCTTATCCATATTAAAATTGTGGCAGGAGGATAACACATATAAGATCTTTGTTGGTGTAGGCATGTTAGGTTGTCTTAATTGTATAAAATTTATTTGATGTGTTTTATTTATGAGTTTTGTTAATAAGATAAGTAGTTAATAATAGTAAAATTTGATTAAAAAAATATTTATTATATTTTCATAGCTTTAATATAATAACTATGTATTTTTTACAATAAAATTTTTTATTTATAGATACTTAAATTAAGTTTTAAAAATTAAGGTTAACAAAAATTTTTATTTATTAGTATTTATACAAGTAAAAGAATGAGACGTGATACCCAATATTTATTAGTACTTAAATTAATGCTATATTCACACTTGTTTATTTTTAAGATAAACTTATAATTATTTTGGTACATAAGATAAACATATTTTAAACGGGCCATTTCAAATAAAACAGAAAGAAAGAAGCTTATAAACGTACACAATAAACCAACCTTTGTTTTTGTTCTGAAGTTATAAATAAAAGACCTTAAACAAGGGAGAAATAGGGTTCTTTGGGCCCAAATAGGTGGAAACAGGCTTATTTGGGCCCAAAGTGAAAATGAATTTAATGATAAAGTGGGAGGGGTTAATTTACGAGTGCGAGAAGCGAGGGAACGAAATAGGAAAAGGAGGGGTTTTTGTGATTGAATTGGGGATTTAGGGATTGTGTACAGTGGAATGAATTTGAAGATGGATTCTGATAGAGCGAAGCTGTTTGTAGGGGGCATTTCACGGGACACCACCGAAGATATTCTCAAACTCCACTTTGCCAAGTACGGTGTCGTTTTGGATTCCACGATTTCTGTAGACCGGAGCACCCGAAGCCCTAGGGGTTTTGGCTTCGTCACCTTCTCTGATCTGTCCGCAGCTGATAAAGCACTTCAAGACACGCACGTCATTCTCGGAAGAACGGTTAGTTTCCCTCTTTCTCTCATGGCCCTGTTTACTTCGCCCACTAGAAAAAATATTAATAAAACGACTGTTTTAGTATTTTTGTCTCAAGTTTCAATGTCACACTTTTACGATTTCCAAGAAAGTTAAACCGTCGTAAATTTTGTTTTTGTTGGCATGTATTAATTTGTTTGATTTATGGTTAGTTCTGTTTGCTTGTGTATAGGTAGAAGTGAAAAAAGCTATACCCAGAAGTGAACAACAGCAACACCAAAACCAATTACAGAATAGAGGGGGTGGTAATTATAGTAGTAATGACTGTAGCAGTGACCACGTTAGGACTAAAAAGATTTTTGTAGGAGGTTTACCTGCTGGTATATCTGAGGAGGAGTTTAAGAAATACTTTGAGAGGTTTGGTCGAATAACAGATGTAGTGGTGATGCAGGACAGTGTGACTCACCGGCCAAGGGGGTTTGGGTTCATAACATTTGATTCTGAAGAATCTGTTCAAAACGTTATGGTGAAAAGTTTTCATGACTTGAATGGTAGACAGGTGGAGGTCAAGAGGGCTGTTCCAAAAGAGGGGAACCATGGGTATGACGGGTTTAATAAATTAAGATATAGGAGTGAAAGAGGGACTGCTAAAAATTTTCCTCCTTATAGTCCTAGGAATGTGCTCCCGGGTTTTGCTCCTTCACCATGGTATAGTAGTGACGGAGTGTACGCATATGGATCAAACACCTATGGTTGCTGGTATCCTATTGGTGGGTATGGGGGGAGTGGATATGCAGTTCCGTCTGATGCTTCTAGGAACTTCTGGTATGGGCCTATGATAACTGGTCCTCAGGCATGTCAGGTGCCTTATCCTAATGCTATGCCGGGTGTTGCGTATGTGGGTGGTAGGATTGGAATAGTAGGTAATGGTGCTGGATCTTGGGGGTACAATGGCATTCTTGGGTCTGCAACAAATTTGAAAATTGATCAACCTTTTAATGCCAATGGACTTGTTCCAGGCAATGTTACATCACCTCATGGTGTAAAGCAGGACGTTGACTCTTCAAGTTTGAAAGGGAGCAATGGCGAAATTTCTAGTTAACAAACTAAAAGGGTCGTTGGGCCTTAATTCATGTAGGTAAATACTTACTGACTGCTTCAGGGCTTTGGAAGGTTGGCATATTCTTTGCTAGATGTTGTAAGAGCTAGTCTCTTGTTCTTATCAGTTTTAATTTGTGAAGCTACCTTTTCATGTGTCATAAATATGTAGTTTAGCAACTTGTCATGTTTAGATATGGAGTTTTATTGGTAGAGGTTTCATGCATCTGTAAAATAATTTCATGCAAATCCTTTTCTCTTCATTCTTTTTTTAATCCTTTTCACTGTAGGTGCCATGTGGTTTGTTTGTTTTGGTGCTGTTCCCCTTCCACTATCATGTTAATGGTTATTACACCGTTAAAGATTGGATTGATATATTTGCTGTACTGATCATTAAATTTAAAAAGAATCAAACTACAGAAAAAGTTTCCCTTTGACATTATAGAACTCATTATCCTTATAGAAATGGTAAATGAGCCGTGTTTCATAAAAAAAAAAAGAGAAAAAAAAATTATGCTATGGACTTCTTGAGTTGATTGTATTCCTTTTTTCATGCATAATTAATGACTAGGCTGACTAGATTCTTGGATTTCAGTCGTGTGGCAATATTAGTTTCAAGTTTATATTATTACAAATCAATTGCATATAATGTATATTGCCAGCTTATTGGAACTATCTTTTGTTGTTAAATTTGAGTTTATACAACATTAGATTTGGATAATGGATCAAGGGACGTCCAAATTCTGAGGAAAAGTGGGTGAAGTTATATATTTTTTAAAAATCAAATTATTGACTTGTGTATTGATGAAATTTATTAAGAGGTTGTTTTTGGTCCATTTTGCATTTTGAAAGTTAAAAGAATATTAGCAAGAATCATGTTTTTAATGTTATATTCTTTTTGTCATTTTTTTTTATCAGCAGAGGAACTTGTATTCCTCCACCTTTTATGGGGGAGGGTGGGGTCTGCATTTATTGTTTTAGTTATTTACGGAAACTTATTATTTGGATCCGACCACAAACCCTGACTTGGTAAAGCTTCAAAAGACCTGCCCAATATTGAAGACCTTGTCTGATTTAAAAATATTGGGCCGAGTTAGGTCTCTTGAAAACCTGGACGGGCTAGAAAGAAAAGGTGTGATTTTGGAACTCTAACTGGTTCGACCGTTCTGGTTTCATAGCCTAGGACCGCTACTCAAAGTCATAGTGGCGAAAAATTGGACCAAAAAATTTAATAGGTGGGAAAGCAAATGAAAACGACAATTAAGGTTGTTCCAAAGCAGTCGAAAGTATATTTCTAGTATTTTATAAAATCGCTGTTTATAGGACAGTAGATATTTAATTATAATAACGATAAACACGAGGAATGGTATGTAAAGTTGTAATTTGTGTCCAGAAATAGTATTTTTGGTGTGCTTGTTAAGGCTTCATTTTGCCACCCTCATTATGAATCAAACTAGACCTAATAAGGCCTTACTCTATAGTGTCATGGGCCGTATTGTAAATTACAAAGCTAGTTTAAAATTTCATCCGTAAAAAAAGGCTAGTTTAAATATGTTACCTTCCTTGACCCAAAAAATATATGTTACCTTCTTTACTAAATGAGTAATAGTTCGAAATTTAAAACTGTTTAAGCGTTATAGGAGGTGTTAAACTATTTTCTGCGGATGAATGGGATTGGTTTGTTTTGAACTTTGTGACTTTTTTCATCCTTGAGATTAATAGGAGAATTGTCGTCATCCTAGGGGTGTTTTCTCTGGGCCTATGGGCCTTGAGAAATGTCCACAGATGATTCAGGCAATAAGATGAGAAGAAAAAAAAAATTACATTGTGGGATTTTATTTTGCAAAATTATGTTTTTAACTCTTGTAAATACGGTTCATTTTAATTTTCGTGCTTTTTTTTTTTCCCGGTTAAAATAGTCTTTATAGTCTCTATTATAACATTATAATGACATTCCATCTGTTCAAGCATGTCACATCAACAACTATTATAACACACATCATAAGGGACTTGATCTGTCATGTTATCAAAAGTACAAACATTTTTTTTAAAAAAATGTATGAAGACTAATATAAACTATAAGGCAACAACTAAATTTGACCATATTTAAAGGAAATTAACTATATTTTATCCATCTTTTAAAATACACAGTGAGATTTGAATTTATACTTAATCACCACATCACTAATTATTTGAATAATTGGAGAAAATTTTGTTGAGTAGCAGAAATGGGGATTATATCTTGTATTTTTTATCATGATTTGTTCTATGTTTAAAAGTCATAAACCTTGAGTTATATGTAGTGTTTTGAAGTATTTTTTGAAAACTTGTCTCAATATTGTAACAGGCCGTCATTTTTTTTTCTTTTTTTTTCGGTCCGGTTTAAATACAAAGTCTGAGTTTTCTCAAAAGTTTCTTGCGCTCAGATTTCTTAGGGAATAATGTAAATGTTTTCTTTTAAATAAAAGCCAGGTGCGCAAAACTAAATTTTTTTTTGGGTAGGGTAGAGCCATACATTTTAATAATTTTGTTGGGAACATATTCAAAAGAAGATAGTTTTTTATGTAGAGATATTGTTTTTATGTTTTCTGTCAACAGAATTTTAATTACTGAAAATTCCAAAACCAGCCCAACGTTAATGCAGATGTGAGCAAATGAAAAGGAAATATGAGCTGAGATGCTTTGCCTCAGAAATTCTATATCGCTTGACGTGTAGTAATATATATATATATATATATATATATATAATGTCATTTTTAACAATTTTTTATTGAATGTAAAATTCATTAACTTGCACTTATTCAATCTAAAATTATTCTAAAGTAAAATAGGTCTATAAATATTTACACTATTGATACTTTATTATTTTATTATATTTAATCAGTATTATATCATGTATATCTAAAAATGTCTTGATAAGTATAATTTTGATGAAATCAACATAATAATTGACGGTTGATAAAAAAAAAATCTTGTTTTCAGTATGGAATAATTTAAAAATTTGTAGAGCTTAGATTTTTAAAAAAAAATTCTATATCACCATTTAATTGCAAATGACATACATTTTGATATATCATGTCTATTTTTACTCTTAATGACATCCAATGCATTACATTTGAATATATATTACATTATCAATGTGACGATTGGAAATATATATATATATATATATATATATATATATATATATATTTAAATGATCAAATTATACAAACAAATGAGAGGATTAAAATTAAATTTAAGCTTGTTTAAAGGCATTAGAAACATGTGTTTCTCGGGACAATTTTTTTGTTTTGATGCTTGTAAACGAAAATTCAAAGACACAATGCTGTTTGTAAGGAGAAAAAGAAATTATTGACCAAATCAAGAAAATGTCTCAGGAGACATGTGTTTTTATTCTTTCTTCGTTACGACAAGTTTAAGAAGTGGGAATTATTAGGGTTTCAAAATCCAAAAAAAATTATCAAATAAAAAATTTAAAACATTGTATTTTATATTACAGATCGATTTGATTTTTTTTTTCTCATTATTAACATTGAATAAATCAAAGTGTGCATATAAGAAATTTATATTGTTTTTTATACTTTACATAAAAAATAATTTTCTACTTATTATTTTCATAACATTATATAAATATATAAAGCACTATTTTTGCTTACTTTTAATTGTCCTTTTTTTTCAACTGGGTATTTTATTTCCTATATCAATAGTCTTTTCATACACACCCGTGGTGAGAATGGTATCTCATTTCAGGAAAGAGAATTTAAAAGCTTTATAAAAATATTTATATTGACTTGGATCAAGTGAGATGCTATTTTACTTCATTTAACAGTCATTTTGATGTAAGTATGAATTTAGATTTATGACAACAAAAAACTATCAAAGCACGTTCAAAATGACAGAATATATTAGACGAATGCACGTTGGTGAGATGAAAAACGCAAAACCAAACACATGATCGAGCTGTCGGAAGCAAAACAAGTCTGTTTTTCTCCTTATTACATGCTTTGCAGCACATCAATTTCGAAAACGAGAGAGGGATGGACGGAGAATGGGTCAATTGCTGACACCTCTATTGGTTTTACTTTTGTATAAAATTAAATATACAGAGTCTATTTTATATTTAAAAATTTATAATTTATTATTATAATTACTTACATCAATGTTTATTTTTTAAAAACTTATCTCTTAAATATATATTAACTCAGTCCCTAAATAAATACAAAAAAAGTATTATATTTAATCATCATTATACATATCAAGACATCAAACTTTTTTTAAATTCTTGTACCACAAATATTCAATATTTTTGTTGTAATTAAAATCATTAAAATATATTTTTATTTTATAATTGCTAAATTTTTTACAAAACTATTTCTAAGAGGTTGAAAAGGTGGAAAATATTAAGTTTAAATTTATGTGATTATAATTGTAGCAGTTACAACAGTGCGGCGAAAAAAATAAAGTTTAAGAAAAATATATTTCAAGAATAAAAATATATTTCTAAAAATCAGAGGAGTCGCTACCAAAATTTATTTTAAGAAAACCTTGAAAAAATATAAAAATAATATGATCTTTGAAACAAAAAATGAGTTCGATAGTCATTTACGTGTACAGAAAGTATTAGAACCCTACAATGTTCATTTAAAAATGGTTACCTTAAATTAATTGTGCAAATTCATCTTAATTTTAAAAAATATTTATTTAACCCCTAAATAATAATAATAATAATTATTATTATTATTATTATTATTATTATTATTAAAAAGAAGACAAATTATTTATTAAAATATTTAATGGATACCTTAAAAAAATATTTTGAAAATTATTTTGACTTGACGGGTCTAGTTCCCGCTCCTACGTATTGTTAGGTGTAATGAAAAATTCAAAGTCATGTAGTTTTTTTTTTCTAAAAATTACGAAATTAGTTGATTAAAATTAAGTTTAGTAAAAAAAAATATTTTAAAATTTAAATTATTTTCGTAAAATTATAATGTTTATGATACAAGATAACGTGGTTATAAATGTATTCTACGAGAAACAATATAAAAAGTAAAGAAATATCACGCAACTATACTGCAAATTGTTAAAAAAATATTTTATTCGTAAATAAAGTATTTGAATTTTAACTTGATTATGATTAATGTTGAAAGAGAATTTAAAATAGTGTAAGTTATATATTAATCTCTTATAATTTTTGGACAATCAAAGGTAATGTAAATCACACAATGATATTGCAAAAATTTAGATAATAAAATAAAAATGAAAAATAATTGATTGTTTAATTTATCAAAATTAGAAATACAATTCAAGAGATTTTAAAATGTGAAATTAATTTTATTTTAATAAAAATAAATTTATTTTAACTGATTAAAGAAGATATTCATTTAATAAAAAGATTAAAAATTTCATTTGATAGATTTATATTATATAAAACCTAAAGTAACGTTAGTACACGTAGGTTTTGGAGAATATATAATACATAAAGGTAGAGTTGCTATACATTAGCATTGTAAATTGTTTCGTTAATAAAATAATTTATATTTAAATAAGTTTATTGATTCGTAAGCTAGTAATTAGGGGAAAAATATATCTTGATTTATTATTAAAATGGTTAACTAATTAATTAATAATAATATATGATAAATTAATATTACAAAAAGTTTTGATAACGTAAGTACACATAAACTTTATCAATTTGACGATAGAAAAACTATACGTTAGTATTATAAATTGATACAATTACATTATTATTTATTAATTGATTATACAAAAA